CTTTGTCAGTTACTACCGGCTATATATTCCCTTAAAAAGTTAACTCTTCACAAGAAATTTTTAAGAACTTCCTCCTGAATAAATTTTAACTAGATAAGGACTTTAAAAAAAAAAAAAAAAAAAAAAAAAAAAATTTAAAGGATCTTTTTTTAAACGAAAAGGTCAGGGAAAAAAAAAAAAAAAAAAAATGTTCAGGTCAGTGTTCTAAATGCTGAAGTCAGGAAGCTCAAAAGCTAAGGGATATACAGCTTTAGGAGGACCATGCAAGTTCTCAGGGTCTGCTAAACCCTCTACACTCCCCACCTACCACTTCTCCATCTGGACTGGTACATGTTTTTGTACTACTGTTGCACAACCTGCAGAAGTGTGTACTGTTATAAAACATTACTAGGGTTACAAGGTTGAGTCCAACTCTTTAAAAATTCATCAGCATCCAAAATGAATTACTTAACCTTTCCTCCATAAGCCCCCCCCCCCCCCAAAAAAGTTAGTATGCTGCCAAAGCAAAGCATGATAAAAATTTATAATTTAATGCAATTCATATTTAACATTTTTCTGAAAGGTACAGATCCTAGGAGTTGCAACACAAGTCCCAGAATTTGTTAAAGATTTTTTTTTAAACCCTCTTGGTTGCAGAGAAAGAAGATGAGCCCATGAACTTTATAAGGCTTATGAAGAGGCCAGACTGTATGTTGAATTATTTAAACCAGATTAGTGATACTTGGGTTCTAAGAGCTGGCAGTACTGTTTAAGTAATTTAATTCTCCACTAGATAGAAGTTGCAGCATTGGAAGGGAGAGCGCGAGCGAGCCTTGCTCCAGATATGGGAGGTTTTTCAAACATGAAAGTTAAACAAAATGAATATACCTACTCCCTGAAAATATTTTATATCTGAGGCCAGTAGAAGCCGTGTGCAATCTGCTGTGGCAAGTTTGATATATATCTGTACTTCTAGGCTGGTTTTGTTCAATGCCATCATCATCCATCTCAAAGATGGGATGAGTGCACTATCGGCAACTTTGCAGAGGACACCAAGGTGGGGGTGGGGGCAGGGAAAGGAGTAGGTATGCTGGAGAGTGGGACTAGGATTCAGAGAGACCTCAACCAAATTGGAGGATTGAGCCTCATGAGACAAGTACAGTCTGGCACCCAGAACCCAACAATCCCATGCACCAGTACAGGTTGGAGACTGACTAGCTAAGCTACACCTCTGCAAAGGACCTGTGGGTTACAGTGGACAATCAGCTGGATGAGCCAGCATAGTGTACCCTTGTTGCCATGAAGGCTAACACCATACTGGTCTGCCAGCAGATCAAGGGAAGTGATTATTCCCTTCTATCCAGCACTGGTGAGGACACGTGTGGAATACTTTGTCCAGTTTTGGGCCTCCCACTAAATGATGCAGACAAATTGGAGAGAGTCCAGCAGAAGGCAACAAGAATGGTTAGGGGGCTGGAGCACATAACACGAGGAGAGGCTGAGGGAACTGGGCTTATTTATTCTGCAGAAGAGAAGACTGAAAGGGGATTTAACATCAGCCTTCAACTACCTGAAGGATGGTTAGTTACTAAGAGGATGGAGCTAGAGACTTCTCAGTGGTGGCAGATAACCAAACAAAGAACAACCGTTTCAAGTTGCAGCACAGGAAGGTTAGGTTAGATACAAGAAAAAAAAAAAAAAAAACAAACCCAAAAACAAAACCAAAAAAACCCACACAAACCTCCCCCCCCCCCCCAAAAAAGCAGTAAAGCACTGGAACAGGCTAGCCAGAGAGATTGTGGAATCTCCATCCTCAAAGGATTTTAAGACTCAGCTAGACAAAGCCTTGGCTGGGATGTTATATATAGTCAGATGGTCCTGCTTGAGCAGGGGATTGGACTAGATGACCTCCTGAGGTCCCTTTCAACCATAATTTTCTACAAGATCCAAGGTTTTAACCATGTAGTTCTTATTTCAACAGCATGTAAGGAAGCTTGCATGCACATGCTGCACCCACCCACTTCCCTGCAGTGCTGCTGCTCCACATGCAGCCACTGCCACCACCCTCTGAAAACCCCTGCCTCAGGTAACCAGAGTTTCTAGATGACCAACACCCCCCTTACCCCACTCATGCCAGATAAAGCTTTTACTGTAGCTTGACTGAGAATACCTTGAATTTGCCAAAGCAAGGTAATTCAAGTTGCTACTGAAAACTTGTTCACAATGAAGCAAGTTAAATTGAAAAAAAAAAAAAAAAAAAAAAAGAAAGAGAAACCTAACTGCTACCATAACTTCATGAAAGGAGATCAGAGATGGAGCCAAACTACTGGGGTGATATTTTATTAGACAAAGAGCCTGAACTTGTGTACATTAACTCAGCTACCCTTTAAAAGGAGAGTATTTTTCAGGATATTGAGGGGAAAAACCAAAGAGTGAAAGCCATTTAAGCTGGAAAGTTACGCCCAGTCTGTCCTACATTAGATATGGTATCCTCTTTCAAATAGAAACATGCATCCTTTTATCATTTTCATTATAGTAATCAGGTTAGCTCATGACACTTCTTCACTCAGTTCTTGACTATTTCTTCACAAAATAGGCAAATCAAATATTACTGAACATTTTTCTTCCCAAAACTTGCACTTGGTCTTCCATATGTACACAACAACATGTAGCAGCAGCATTCTGTGTTTTTAGCCATTCTTGTACTTTTATATTACACTGAAGAGCACTGGGAAAACTCAAGGGACAGATGGACAAAAGCTTATACACACTGCAAGTTGTGAAGTTTCTGGTGAACCACTTACTCTTGAACTTCTGGTGGTTCCGATCCTTGTTCATATCTCACAGTTGTCATTTTGTTCTTAGTTCAGTTGGTCTTAATAAGAAAACATCTAAAACAACAAAATCAAGTTATTCCTCAAAGCATGTCAGAGAAAGACAATAAGTACCCCATAGGTGTACATTAAATAAAAGTGAGAAACTAGTCCTAATGATGGTTAAGCTTCTGAAGGTTTAAGGCTTCAGTTGAGGAAGTACTGGGAATACATTTAGTTTATGAAGTTCCACTGGTGAGAAATTAGATGATCTGTACAATAGTGAGTTACCAAATCAGCACTCTGGGAATTGAAGTCCAATATATACAATCCAGTAGTTAGAGGCTCCCTTCAACCAATTTATCCTAAATATTGGATAGTTGTCTATTCTGTCTAGTAATGGACATAAAAAGCTACAAAGTACAGAACAAAATACTACCAATTTAAATGCCCACTTGTCAAACTGCTCAGAACAAACTAAAAACGTGTTCCAAAGACTGTCCATTGTATAATCCATAAAGCCAATTACAACCATAGAACACACACACACACACAAAAAGAACATTAGTGATAAACTCAGTCTGACTTCACTGAAATGAGCCACTGCTGTTACTTGAGGATCACTAGCACTGACTTGGCAAACCAAGAGCACAACTCAGTCAAATGAGAGTTGATGTACACAGTACAGCAAGCCTAGCACATAAAGACAGGAAATGTAGCCAGTCTTAGAAAAAAATCTCTTGCAGAGAAGCCTTTCTAAAACTGGAAGACTTTCTTCCTTCCCCCCCTCTTTTCTTTCAATTGGTTGAGCAACCCGATTTGCATTAAATTCCCATAAGAGGCTTCGCTCACTAGCAAACAAGGTGCACAAGTCCTTTGTCCAGAGAGGATCAGAAGCTTGAGCAGCACCTGATGTTGGTCTCTGCCTGCCTCTGCCTCCACTTAAACAGTGGAGTGTGTGTTCCCACTCAACTCCCCCAGCTGCAACATGAGTGCCTGTCCCCAACAACAGTGGAGAAGTACCAAGTTTGCTCCAGCAAAGAGAACAGCCTCTTGTCTAACCAGTGCATCAGTAGTAAGCTGGATGGCTTTGGCCCCACTTCCAAGCAGGGCTCTGGTTTGGACGTTTAGGTCCAGGAGAGATTCAATTGGTGGGGGGGAGAAAGAGGGTGTCACAGCACACAACCTGGCATCACCAGCAGGCTGGGCATCACACCAGGCTGTGATTCTTTGTGCCTGCCCTCAGTTTCCATGGGAGGGAGAAGGGATTAAGCCCCTCTCCAGCTCCCCCCTCACTCAGCCAAGGGGATTACCAGGGGGGCCGGTAGCCCCTATCCCACCTTGTCCTTCTGCTCCCAGAAGAAGGGGACCAGGAGTCTACCAAGCCCCCTCTCCCGGGCTCTGCCCCAGGCAAGCCAGCAGAGGCTGGAGGAAGTGATGCAGCGGGGCGGGCTGGGCCTGCACAGCCGCCCTCGGCGGGACACTAGCCCAGGGGTAAGGAAGTTTGGGGCGGGGCGGGGCAGGGCAGGGCAGTCCCTCCTCCCCTCCCCTCCCCGTCCCACTCCAGCACGGCGCCGCCGGGGGATCCTGCATCGCCCCTACCTGCCGCGGCGGAGGGTGGCCCTGGCCCTGGCTCGGGAGAGGAGGCTGCTGGCAGCCCCGGGGCGGGGGCTGGCTAAGGCCCGACGCGCGCCCTCGCCCTCTCGCTCCGCTTTGCGGACTGCTACACTTCCTGAGCTCTCTCCTCTCCCGGCCCCGGGCGGGCGACCGCCCTCCCGCCCAGCCCCACTGTCCCGAGCAGCGAGCAAAGGACCAGCCCCATTACCTCGGGCAACCCCGGCCCGGCCCGGCCCGGCCCCGGGCAGTTCCGGAGTGGAACGCCGTCGCCATAGCAGCGGGCCGCGCCTCCCCATTCATGGTGTTGCAGCGGGGAGGCGCGCCCCGCTCCCCCCCGCGCTAAACTGATCCGGGAGACACCTCCGCCCAGCTTCAGGCGGCCAGCTCCCGTCTTGTCTGCTGCAATCGGGTCAGCTGAGACACCCTCCCGTAAGATGCCTCTGGCCGTGTGGATGTGCACTCGTGTCACTTGCTTCAGGCAGACACAGCGTCTCTTTAGTGGGAGCCTCCTCTGGGGATGGTGCGCACCTGAGGACGCTGAGCCTGGCCAGGACATTCTTTGCAGGCTTGTCTGGTAAGGGCCAAGGGTTTAGCCTTGACCCCTCAGCCACTTCACCTGGAGGGTAATGGCTAAGGACTGGGGGTCCCTGTGGTCCAGCTGAAAGCAATGAGAAGGATCCTGTCAGGGAAGTTAAGCCCCTTTCCAGGAGCAGGTCCTAAGTTAGGCACCATGACGAATGCAACACCCTCACCAAAGGTTTGGCACCACCTTCTACAAATGCCAAGGCTCAGCAGTTCAGTGTTTTCATGTAGGGCGGATGCCTGTGTCGATCAGTACCACAGACAACCCAGCCCGTGTAGGCCGGGGGTTCCTGTCTGGGCACAACACTGCAAGAAGTGCCAACCTGGCATCTCTCTTTCTGTCACGTGCCGAGATGCACACACACTTTTCCTTTTATGGTTGCTGTCACCTTGATTCTAATTTTAAGGAGTTTGTTTTTTCTTAAGTCTCCGCTGCCTGGAAGGGCCTTCTGAGACTTGATATGTTTTCTCTACTGATTTTGCTCTTTTCCGTTGGGTAATGGCTGCAATCATTTTAGAGGTAGATTTTCACCCCTGCCATTTGTGCTTATGAAAATATCTTTATTACAAAAAGGAGCTAAACTTTCTTTATTACAGCAAGGACCTGTTACAGGCATGGCATTTTTTAACAAACAACTTTAACTTAGAACAGCTGTGCTGCTGCACAGCCAGTAGAGGGAGTTCAAACCCTGCCTTTTCGAAATCTTGTTCCTGAATTGCTCACAACTTTCAGGTACTTTTGTTGATTATAAATTTCCTAGTGGTCTGAGCAGCCAGATTCATTTTTTCCTCTCTCAAATGCAAAGCAAATCTCTGTCATGGCTATTCAGAATTGTGAGCCCTTTTATACATCAAACTAAAGCAAATTGAAGGTAAATTCCCTTTTTCATCTACAGACTTTGGAGATATCCTCAGAAATGCGCTTTAGTTAATTCCCAATTTACTTAGTCATAAAAATTCTCTTCATATGCAAACATTGTCCCTGCATGATTGTTAGTATTTTACACTTGTTGAAAACATTGAAAAGATGATATTTTGATTTCCTTTGGCTTGGTGTATGAGATTAGGTGCTGCAGGGAGAATGTATGAAAGTAGGAGGAAAGCCAACCGGTTCCAGGCTAAGTGGAATGCGCACATGGAATAAACAGTTGCTAAAGTCAGAAAGTAATAAGTAATAAGCTACACAAATCAATAAAGATTAAGAAAATAAATAAAATTGATGTTGGTAGAAACTGAATAGACTGGTGGCAGTAAGAACGCATGCAGAAGCATTTGCATTGTTGTTGTTGTTTGTCTGTTTGTATATTTTTTGGTCCTGGAAGTTGTACTTGTCAAAGGGGAATTTTTTTGGGTGGGGTGGAGGGGCCAGAGGTGAGCTAGTTGTTTCCTAAAGACGTGACTCTGCCGTCCTTCTGAATTCATACTTTGCAGTTCAGTAAAACATTACACATGGAATATTTTCAAGATCAGATCCAGGAAATTGTGTAAATATGGCAAGTTGATCTTAGCTTGTCTTATAATCATAGGTTAGAAGCTCTTAATGTAGTTTTAATGTAAATGCTGACGTTTCACAAGAATCACTGTATTCAATGTATTCAACTTTCAAGGGTGCAGGAACAGGCTGAGAATCCTCTGAACAGCCAGTAGGGCATGATTCATGCCATCTTACAGCCCTTTTACCTCAGTTTTGCAGGCATAAAGTAAACTGTAACTGTAAACTAACTGATCTGTTTCCTACATAATACAGTTGAGCCTGGACTAAAACTTGAGATCAGAAATTTTTGTTGTTCAAAGTTTGATCCCAGGCTGACTTTTGTGTCTTGGGGCTTTCTGTACTTTCTAATAATACAGTGTTGTTGATGCTTGACCAATATTGCCAATTCCTATTTGATTATGGGTCTCGTGCTGTTTGACATATCTTTGTAAAACTCCAGTTCCTTGGGTCAAATGATTCAGCTTAGAATGTCAACTTTCTTTTTATTATAAAATACCTTTGGGGTTGGACCCAATGATCAGTAAGGTCCCTTCCAGCCCCTAACAGCTATGAAACTTTATCGCCCTTACATTTGCAAAGAAAAATTTGGAAATGTGACACAAGTATAGTCCAGAAGGTCAAAAAGCTGAATGCAGAGAAAATGATCTATGTTGGATTACTGTAGTTCTGTTTTGGCTTGTTTGTTTTCAACTTTGACTTAATTTCAATTTTTGAGGTCTCAGTAATGAGTTTTGGATGTTGGAGGTGGTGCTGTACAGATATTTAAAAGAATCTGAAATCTGATTTTAATCTAATGGCAGATCTTCACCACTGTAAATGAACAATGCTATTAGTAGAATGGTAGAATTGCTAATAATAAAAATATACAAAAAGGCAGAAATGTTCATTAAGTAGCCTGTTCTGTATTTGGAAGAAAACACCAGCATGACATATTTGTATTACTTTCCCTTCCACATGGTAACTCAGAGGAAGTTAAATAACAATTATTAAAATAAGACCTCAGATGTGGGTAATTTGTACCAAGAGTTTAAAAGAGTTTGCCAAGGATTACTATGACCGTTAACTTTATTAAAACTCACCATTGATAAATAATGTTGAGTTTCAATAAATTTTGTAACACTAGAAGACTAGAAGAAAAGTACTAGGGTGTCAGTATAATGAAGAGGTGAGCAGGATGACCTAGATGATAAGCCCAACAGCTTGCCATTTTCCTGATGGAATGGTTGATATGGACTAAATTGATTAAAAATGACAAGAGTAATATAATGAATACCAATCAGAGTGGGATTATAGCAAATAGATCTTTCCAAACTAACCTGATATTTTTAAGAGGATAAATTCTATTGATAAGGTGAATAGTGTCAATTTAAAATACTTTTTTGTAAGACATATTTGACTTGCTGCCTGCAGCATATTAAGAAGTTAAAATGACACAAACTCAATAGGGAGCACGTGACATGGATTAAAACCTGAATCAGAACACGGTCATGAATGGGAAATCGCTATTGAGCGGATGTGTTTCTAATAGGGTTGCATAAGATTTGGTTCCTGCACCTGTGTGATTTTAAGATTTTTATCAATGACCTAGAAGACAGAAAATCATTAATAATAATGTTTGAAGCTCACAGAGTCTAGAGAAGTGGGAACTAATAAAGAAGAGAGACGACTGATACATAGCAATTTACATTGTTTCATAAGATGGGCACAGACAAACCATCTATGTTTCTTTATTGCCAAATGTAAAAATATGTGTCCAGACTCCAGGAGAACACACTTTCTGAGTCATCTACTTTCCAGCATAAAGACCTGGAGGTCATGGTAGATAATCAACTGACCATGAATTCTCAGCATAACACGGTGGCCAAAGGGGACTAATGTGCTGCTTGGATGTGTAAACACAAAATTCTGAAATAGGAACAGGGAGGTTATATTGACTCTGTGTCTGGCATTGATGGAACATCTCTTGGGATACTGTATCCCTTTCTGTTGTCCAAAATTCAAGATGGATGTTGATAAATTAAAGGGAGTTCACAGGCTCAATTCCAGGAAAAACTTCACAGTCAGGGTGTCCAGACTCTAGAATAAACTCCCTCCAGTGGTGATGCAGTCACCTACCCTAGAAATCTTCAAAAGGAGACTGGACAGTCACCTTGCTGGGGTCACTTGACTCCAGTTGTCTTTTCCTGCCTAGTTACACAACTGACAAAACCACTAGAAAACATGATTTATAACGAAAGCCTCCAGGAGCTCAATCTCTTTAGTTTATCATAGAGAAGATTAAAAAGGTGATTTGATCACAACTATTATGTAGATATGATAAGAAAGGCCTCTTCAACATAGTAGATCAGTGTGTAACAAGATCCAGTGGGTGGAAGCCACAGCAAAATAAATTCAGAGCCCAAGTAAGACATAATTATTTAACAGTGAGGGTCACAGAAGTTAAAAGCAGGAGGTGGAGAGCACGAGAAAGATTTACTGCACATCAATTGTGTTGCTGTCCAGTGGAATGGTTTTTGTGTGTCTGCTCCATTCTGCAATAAGTGAAAAATAAAACAAAGTAATTCAACAGATTGTTAATCTGGAAGTAAAGATTCCCAATTTCTTCTTACTGAGGGATAGAGAAGACAAACTATTGCTGAGGATTGTCTAACATGCAGTAAGTCTCCCCTTCCCTTTTCACTCAGCATACTTGTTCCATCAGTCCACACCCTCTCTGACCCTGTAGCACTTGCAGAAATAACTTGCGTTTTCCAGTGACAGTTACTGTATAACAAGTAAATCAGGAAATGGAGGGTGTCAGTTGGGGGCCTCAGCTGCCTATACACCAATGTCAGGAGCATGGGGAACAAGCAGGAGGAGCTAGCCCTCCTGCTCTCTAGTGGGCAATCTGACCTGGTAGAAATCGCGAGGACTTGGTGGGACTCCTCATATGACTGGAGCGTAGCTGTAGAAGGCTGCACCTTGCACAGAAGGGACTGAGCAGAGAGAAAAGGTGGAGGGGTAGCTCTCTATGTGAGGGAGCAGAACACCTCTCTGGAGGCTGACATTGGCTCCAAAGATAAGCAGCTTGAAACCCTCTGGGTCAAGCTTTGGGGAGGGGTGGGGTGCAAGAGACTTAACTGTGGGCGTTTACTACTGCTGACCAAACCAAGGAGAGGAGCTGGATCTGGAGTTCTCTCAAGAACTGACAGAGGCTGCGTGTGCAAAGGACTTGGTTGTCATGGGCGACTTATAAAGAGGAAAGGTAGCTGGCAAGCCCTGCTGGCTCAATAGGGACATCACGGTCCTCTTGAAAAAGAAAAAAAGAGGTGTACACACAGTGGAAGCTAGGGACAGTCCTCAAGGACTGGACACATAGGGGGTGCACTGGGGCGCACATGCACCTCCTGAGAGTGCTGGTGCACTCCCTGACAAGCAGCTTTCCCTGCTTAGGTGATGGGCAGGGGAGGCTGGTGGGAGCGCCGGTGCCACCCTGTGAGTGCTGGCTGGGGAGTGGG